ACTGCTCTCCAAAGTGGTTCACTCATGTCCTCCGAGAGGGTCTGAGGGTTCCCATTTCTGCTCCTACTCCCATCACAGGGTGGGGCTATTCCTGGGTATAGGTAATGAACTGGTTCCAGCAATATCACCACGGAGAGATCTTGAGAATTAATGGTGAGTGAAAAAGGCAAGCTGCAGAGCACAAAACGGTTGTGGGGAACTCAGTTCCATCCATAAATTTTTATTTCTTTGGTTAAAAAGATACTTGAAGGTAATAAAACAAAATAGTGACAAATATCAATTCTAAGTGAGGGAGAAATGGGAATATCTGATATACTGTTCTCAAAACTTTGTTGTATTTAAAAAAAAAAATCCTCAATTAAAAGGGGAAAAGTGATGTGCAGAGATTTCCAAAATATACCGGGTAACAGATTTTTTTTTTTGAAGCAGCCTCCACATTTGGACTCACTTTTCCCCAGGCAGAGGTTCATATTAGGGAAGCTGGCTAGCATTCCCTTGTGAACATTGTTTAAAAGTAGATATGATATCAAGGAATTTTGGAAGTTCTTATTTTTAACCAGTAAAATTTCCACAGCATGTAAAATAAGTGCTCAAGTCAATGCCTGACTGGTTTGTTTCACCTAATCATAACTAACTCAAAATCTGTGCAAGCCTCTTTTGGGCCTGGGGTGGGGGAGGTGATTCAGTGTGTTCTTTCTTCCCCTTCCCCACCCCTTTATTCTGGTACAATCAGATCAGAATAAACATCAAGGGCAGCTTTGGAAGGGAAGGGAAGTCAGAGACTTGGAGACCCTAAGAGACTGCTTTTGTTCCACCAGGGCTGATGACAACTATGTGGGTGATAGGCTGGATTCTTAATTAGAGGCAACTCCAATTGGCTCAGTGGTTAAGAATCTGCCTGCCAATGCTGGAGACGCGGGTTTGATCCCTGGTCCGGGAAGATCCCGGAGAAGGAAATGGCAACCCACTCCAGTATTCTTGCCTGGAAAAACTCCATAGACAGAGGAGTCTGGCAGGCTATAGTCCATGGGTCACAAAGAGTCGAATATGACTTAAGCCTGAACAACAACAACTGAATTAAGAGCACCCATTTCCCAGGAAGGGTACTCATTCTCACAGCTTGCTTTGTGTGTTCGCAGAGGAAGCATTTAGAGCATGCATCTGCAATTTTTTTTTTTTTTTTGCTTTGCTTTTTGATAAATGTAAAAGTCTCATGTTTGCTTTCAGTGTTACCCAAAATATTAAAATAAACTGTATGACTAAAGAGAAGATCAGATATACCTCATACTGGTGAGAATCTCTGATGTGCCAGTACTGCCCTTAAACTCCTGGGTTTTGGGCAAATCTGAATTTGAAGACTGACCTGACCACTCAGAGTTGTGCACCTCAGGTGAGCTTCTTATGTTTTTTTTCTATCCCCATCTCTGGAAAGGGGATGTGACACCTGCCACTTGGGGCTGCTCTGTGGATTCAGTGAGGCACTTGGCACCATTGCCAGTTACTTAAAAAAAATAACAAACCTGAAAACATTAATCAATAGCCTTGGGAAGTAGACTAACCCCTTTTCCCCATTTTATAGATGAGAACACTGAAGCCCGGGCAACAGTTTTATGAAGAGGGCTGATGCCTGTCCAGGCCAAGCCCCTTTCACTGAGAACCCCACCCCCTCCACCCTTACCCCAGCCTTGACCAAGTGCCTGCAGGTGACCAGTAGATCTGCAGTCATCTTTTCTCTGGCCTTAGTCTCTGACCCCAAAACAGTGTCCAGGGTGATTGCTCACGTGCGTCCTCAAGATCTCAGGATCAAGTTTTAGTGGTGAGTATTATATTAACCAGCTCATGTTTGTTCTGTCAACTGGGCTGTAAACTTTATTTCAGAGAAAGGACCAAATTCTCCTAGTTTCCAATAAGCTACAAGTCTCTGAAAAACAGGCTGTATTCCTTGTGAGAGACTTTCAGTGCAGAACTTCTGTATAAAACTCATTTTAGCTTTAAGTTTCACCATCCAAGTGTTACTGAGGTGACACAGAGACATGGAATGAAACAGACTTTCTAATCTGTTCTCCTGAACCGCTAACTTTCGTGCCCTTCCTCGAGTTGCTGGACCTCTCAGCCTCAGTTTCCTCACCCAGAAAGTCAGGATATTCGTGTCTTCCCTGCATGCTCTGTGGACCAAAATGAAATGCTGCATGGGAAGACCTTTGGTAAACTTTAAGGCGGTTTTCCTCTCTGACTCCTCCTGTCCAGTCCGAACCCCCTCCTTCCTCAAATGAGCAAGCAGTGGGACTGTGCCCTCTGTTCTCCTAAGGCATTTCCCAGCAGCCCTGCCCAGCTGCCACAGCTGAGAAAGAACCGAGCAGTCCTACATTCTACAAAGGAGGAAGAAACCGTGTATCTGCGCTGAAAAATTCACCAAGCTCCTAGCACTTGTTAGGTCAATCTGTTTATTGGGTTCCAAGTTAAACTCCTTTCCAGGAGGACCAGGAAGGCCTAGACTCTTACAAGTTTCCAGCAATGAAACCTTGGTGAAGTTACTTAGTGTGTCTGAGCCTCAGTTTCCTCATTTAAAAAAATGTGATCATACTTGCCTCGCTGGGTGATGGTATCAAATGAGGACACTCTACAGTAGGCAGTCAGAGTCTGTGATTTTCTTCTCTTCCCTTGTTACTTCTCTCTCCCTTCTGTTTATCTTTCTAACCCTCTGTGCCTTAGCTTGCTTTCTGTGATGTGGGGATAAGAATACTGGGCCTACTTAGCTCACTGGTTGCTGTGTGACTCTGCAATAAAGGCTGTGGTGGGGCTTTGGAAATGGTGACACAGTATAAATAACTGTGTGGGCTTATTCTCAGGCTCGCTGACCTTGAACTGATGAGCATGCTGGTCCTTCCAGGCTTGGGTTGTTGTGTGCAGCCGCCACTTGGAGAAGGTCACTTAACATACCTTTCTGTTATTGTTCTTCCTGAGGCTCCTGATGCACCCACATCTACCTGGGCTGCCCCACAGCCTCCTAACATCTGTTACTCACATTCCTCCCCCACTGTCTCTCTGGTCTCTTCTGTATCATAAGACCCAGGACCGTCTCCCCTCCGCTCCCTGGATACAAAAGGATGCCTGCCACAATCCTGCAGGCTGTCAGAACAGAAGCTGCCTGTCAGATGCACCACCGCCTCCCATCCTTAGCCTCAGGAATAAATACTAAAAAGACTCACGATGGGGAGCTAAGGAAAGCAAGAAGTGCTGCTAAAAGCCCCCAACAACCCACGGTGCGAACACCCCCACCTCCTCCAGAGGCCACCAGCCCCTCTGCAATTGAGGACCAGCCGCTGTGCACTGGACTCAGAGGGGCCCAGGATGCTGTGGGCTGGAAGCTGGGAGTTGGGAGCTGGGAGGGCGGGGCCCGCCGAGGCAGGGGAGCTGAGCTGCTCTATTCTGGGCACAGTTTCAAGGCCAGCTGCAGGGAGAACAAGCAGTCGCTGTGTGTCTGCAGCTGGCAGTGGTTAGGCCAGGGCTGTCCCTCACTTGGGGTATATTTAAAGACACCCCAGATGATCATGCCAACAGGAAAAATGCAGACAGAGCTCCAGCCACGTCCAGTCTCCAGCCCAGTCCAGCCCCCTCCCCCTTTGCTGTAGAGCTTCTGGCCGTGGATTTACGTGTCCATAGAGGAAGGCAGGCTTTTCAGACTTTCCCAGGTGGAGGTGGTACCACCTGGGGACATGCGCCCCCCCATTCCTGGGCCTCTCTGCCCTCTGACTGAGCCGACTAGAAGTTTAGGGGATTAGCTGGTTGGCTCCTCCCACCCTGGGGTTGGTAACCCAGCAACCGCTGGGGAGAGGCAGGCAGATGAGTCAAAGAGCACAGAATCTCTGGCTTTGTGGTTTGATTGTGAAAACTCCCCCTGAGCGCAGGGTCCCTTCGGCAGGGAGTGGTGGGACTTTCCCACACTGCTTCAGGCCAAATGCTCCTCCTCCAAGGGATGCCTGGGCCCCACTTGACCGCTGCTGCAAGCTCAGGGACAAAGCTGGTGGCCCAGCAAGAGCCCATCCCGGCCCAACTCTGCCTGTCTTTCACTTGTTTTTCTCAAGTGAAAACAAGACCATTGGCCTGAATTCCATGGGAAGGGGTATGGGGGTCGGTAACTGAGAACAATGGGCAAGGGGCCCCAAGGGCCTGAGGTCCCGCATAGCAGAGACAGCAGGTGTGCATAGAAGTTTGGGCTTGCAGGGCAAATCTTTTCTTAGAAGTGAGAAGACCTCAGGAGAGCAGCCCAGCAGAAGCAGGGTGGGGAATGAGAAGTGGGCAGCTTATCAACCAGTAAGGCCCACAGGCTATGTCTGAGGCAGGCTGCTGCAAGTGCCTGGAGAGTTAAAATGCAAGTGCACCAACTGGATCAGCTATGTAATTTGAGGGTTCAAAATGCAAATACAGGGCCCTTTGCTAAAAAAAAAAATTATCAAAAATTTTAAAAGAAAGTCACAGAAGAGCATTAAACGAGGAACCTTCTGAGTGACCGTGCAGGTTGGGAAGCTGGCCCTGAGTGCCTGAGTTGGCTCTCCTTGAAAGTTGAGGCAGGTGAGCTGATGATGTCTGGTCACCTCTGGCCTCAACCGCAGACCCCTCAGCCCTGCGGTCTTCAGATCCCAGACTTTAACCAGGCTTGGGACATTGCCTCTATCCCCATAGCAGCTTCTTTCCCTGAATGGGCAGCACCTGTCTTCATTTCTTGAAGGTGATGTTGGGGAGAGGGCTGAGGGCAGGAAAGGACGGCAGCCCTGAGTCCACTGGGTCTCTAGGTCTCAGATCCCAGAACTCCCTGGTCAGGACGGAAAGGCAAACCCCGTGATTAGAGCCTGCTGGGAGTGAGGCTGTAGACATGTTGGGAACAGGATGGAGGTATGAAGGATTACACTTGGGACCACGCTGAACCTAGGGGACATGTTCTGAGGGTATGTGACAGTTCAGGACCAGAACCAAGGTCCAGCAAGCTTTTGGGAACTCACCTCCAACTCTATGTGGTCGTGGAGTTTCTTGCAGGTGGCTGCGAAGGTCTCCGAGGTGCCAAATTCAAAGTACCACAGCTTGTTCTTCATCCTACCAGGAGTCAGAAAGATGGCTCAGTGTTCTGTGTTTGAAATGGCTGTGTACAACAGCTATGCTCCCAGGGCCAGGACACTCAAGCCCTCAGCTGTCCCCAATCTTATGTTTTTAGCACTTCGTAATCGGATGATCAGGGATGGAAGATTTTTTTAACCAACTGTTCTTGCTACCAACTTAAAGAAAAACCTATTTGTTTCTTAGACATTATGGCTACTCTGGGTGAACAGCCAGTGGCTCTCTGATCTTCCTGGTCAGAGCCAGAGAAAGGCCTGCTTGCCTCTGGATCTGGATCAAGGGACGAGTTCCATGAAAGTCAACCAGGTGGCAACTGACAGCACGCTCTGGTCAGTGTCCTTTCTACCACAAATGCAGAGGAGCTTTGATAGTTGGGGTATGAAGGGAGGACGACCAGTTAGCCAGTTGAAACTTGATGGAGGTATAGCCTCAGGACAGAGGAGGGATAGCCCCACATCAAACCAGCTAAAATGTGTGCTACTTGGTCTATGCTCTGACTGGGAGAAGCATCGTGGAGAGAATTAGGCACAGATTTGCAGGCAAGGAGGAAAGAGGGGGAAAAAAAGTGAGTTCTTTTGGTAGCAATAGTTCCCCCCACTTCTTTCTCAATCATATTCGCTTAGGCTATGACAATCCTTCATTGAGGGGTAGGCCTTGTCCTATTTGCTTCAAAGTAAGAGCTCACTATTTTGAGCTTTAAAGATGTTCCACATTTTCCTGATGGGAGGTAGGGGGACCGGAAACAATGGTTGTTCCCATGTAGCCGGGAGCTCTGCAAAGTCAGATGGTTGTGTCCTGACACTTGGTCATTTTGATCAGATGGTCTCACCAGGAAGTGTTTCTGAAGGTATTCCATTCCTCTCGTCCCAACTGTCATCCTATTCTCAGGGGCTGGCTATGAGAAGGGACACCTGTCCAGTTTATAAGCTGGCAGATTTTGCTGAGGAAGGATTAAACAGAATCACAATCTTCTTGGCACAGTCTTCAGGAGAGAGGATGCTGCCTTGCGTGTTGCTGATACTCCATCCTCAGAGCTGTGGACTAAGAGAAAGGAGCATTCTTCAAAGGAAAGAAGGCTTTCTTCCTAGTATTAGGCCATAGCAGATGATGCTTTTGAATAAGAGGCACAACTTTTCTCTCTACGTTTCTCAAAGAGTCCACCTACAGCTTAAAGACGAGTCTGTGTTCTCCCACTGCATGAAGATTTCTAAGATCTAGTTGGGAGGTAGCCTTTCTGACTCTTAGTAAGCAGGAAAAGAAATGATAAACAGTATTTATGGAGTTATGCTTATGAAGAAACTTAGAAGGGTTGGGTGTTCTTTAAGTAGACCTTCTCAGCCAGTGTACTAGGCCCAGGTGTGCCTGAGATACCAATCTCCTCAGCTTTGGGTGGCCAGGTTGGGGTCTGGGGCAGGCTGAGCGCCTGATGCCACAGCTGGGGTTCTTTCTATATGAGATAAACACCAAACATTTGCTTTTGTTTTCTACGCTTGCCATGATGTGCAGAGGAAACACTGCTCTGATCACTTCTCTGTATGCACAGAAATGTGAATACAAGTTACCCAGGGATTTCATTAAAATGCAAATTCTGATTCAGTCATTCAGGATTTGGGCAGAAGAATTCCTTGTTTTCCAACATGCTGCTAGTACTGATCCAGCAATCACGCTTGGAGCTGTGAGGATCTGGGGACTACTTTTGTGGCTCTGAAACATTAGTATTCATAAGAATCACTTGTGAATGTGATTAAAATGCTAGTTCCTGGGCTCTGATTTGTAGCGATTCTATGTGGCCTATGTGTGACAGGGCCCAGGAATATGCATTTTATGAGTGCCCAGGTGATCACTATTCAGGTGGTCAGCTGTCAGGATTTTCCGAAGCATTACTCTAGATCCCAGTGAAGTGACAATGAAGGAAGAAGACAGACCGATTAGCCCTGAAAGAGAGGATTCCTCAGGGAAGACAGAATGAGGGTCAGTGCCTTTCAACAGACAATGACGGCAAAAGACCCAGTAATAGCAAAAGCACAGACTGTCATAAATGCCAAGGTTGAGGACGCCTCACAAGCGGCAAGACCATCTCTGTAGCCAGGAGACCTGCATTATGATTCCATTTTCAAATATCACTGCTGGTCTGAATCATGACTTTTGAAAGTTATTGCCAGGAGATTTAGAGTTTTAATAAAAATTTCCGGAAGCCGCAAGCTATTTTTACCCAGAAGTGGTGCTTCTGATGATCTAATAAGGTTAAGAGGTCATGGTTAGGTCAGTATTGCAGAATGACTGAGAAGATCAAACAGACAGTTCTTCTGTTGCTGGTTAGATGTCCATTGCTGGTTGTGAACCTAAGCCTCAGTTTCCTGATCTGTAAAATGGAGGTAATAAAAAGATCTGCTTAAAAGGGTTAGTTGTAAAGATTAAATAGGATGACTGCAAAGCACTTCTCATAATGCTTGCTGCATAATAATCTCACCAATAATGTTAGCTACTTACTTATCAGTTATTATTTCAATGTCTTGGGATATTTGGATACCATAATAAGGTTATGGCATCAGGTTGGGCAGCTGTAGACATCGTTGTTGTTGTTTAGTCACTAAGTTGTGTCCAACTCTTCACAACCCCATGGACTGCAACACACCAGGCTTCCCTGTCCTTCACCATCTCCTGGAGCATGCTTAAACTCATGTCTATTGAGTCGGTCATACCATCCAAACATCTCATCCTCTGTCACCCCCTTCTCCTCCTGCCCTCAATCTTTCCCAGCATCAGGGTCTTTTCCAATGAATTGGCTCTTCGTATCAGGTGGTCAAAGTGTTGGAGCTTCAGTATTAGTCCTTCCAACGAATATTCAGGGTTGATTTCCTTTAGGACTGACTAATTTGATCTCCTTGCAGTCCAGAAGGACTCTCAAGAGTCTTCTCCAGCACCACAATTAAAAAGCATCAATTCTTCAGTGCTCAGACTTCTTTATGGTCCAATTCTCACATCTGTTCATGACTACCACAGTTTTGACTATATAGACTTTTGTGGACATTATACATCCAAATTTTTCTGGGACAGAAAAACATGGGCTCATACTCGTCAGATCATGTGTCTTGACTTTTGGTTAAAAATATATGTTCCCTCCATGTCTAATCTAATAGTTTTTTTCCAGAGTCAGACCACACCCTAATCCTTGGTTAATTATCTTGACTGGTCACATGACTGTCCAAAGATGTCATGTTTGCAAATCTGCTTCTGAGAAAGTACACATTTGGTGTGAGACAAAGTATTCATCAACTCAAGAAATATTCAGGGTGCCAGGACTAGATAGGGTGTACTTAGATGCAGGGGAGAACGAAACACAGAACTCCATGAGCCATACACCTGGGAAAGGCATTCGAGGAAACAGAGTGTGCAAACAGTCATGTGCCAAGCACTGAGCCTTGGGGATACCTAGGAGGAGGGACATCCAGTTCTTGGTGAGGCCACCACCCATCCTGAGTGAGTGACGAGTTCTGAAGGATGTGGAAGGGAATAAGGAAAGTGGAGGAAGAACATTCTAGGCAGAGGAAAAAGCCCAATCAATGGCCCAGGGTAAGAGAGAGCACAGTCCTGCTGGAGAGGATCTGGAGTTCCAGGAGGGGTAGATTGGCCAGATAAGGGGGGTGCAATGCTTAGGTGTTTGAGCTTTATCTTAAAGTCTATACTGTGTTGTGGACCATCCTCATGTGATGGTAGTGGTGAGGGGCTGGTGGTAGTGACCTGACAGACTTTTGTGCTTTTTAAAGATCACTCTGTTCCAAGTCTGGAGAGTTGACTGGAAGGGGTGGGTACAGATTTGAGGCCTGGAGGATGGTTTGTAGGTGGTGTAGAAACCCAGGAGAGAACTGGGAAGGACCTGAACCAAGGCGGTAACAGCAGGGCTCAGGCTAAGGAAAGGGATTCACAAGCTAAAATTTAGTAGATGGAATTGACAGGGCTGGTTTGTTGGAATAAGTCAGTGGGAAAGAACAGTCAATGACACCCAAGTGTTTAGGTTGCATGATAGATGGCAGGTGCTGTTCACTGAGAGAGGAGCACAGGAGTTCAGTTCTCCAGCGGCAGTCCTCTTTGTAACTGAAGGACAGCACTTGTGTGTTTTGGCGTGTCCATCATCCATCCACCCATCTATCCATAGATCATCTATTGAGCCATACTGTGGACTAGGCACTGCATATGACCTGGAGATGAGTGATAAATAAGAGAGGCAGGATCTCTGCCTCATAAGTTTCCATGCTTTTAATAGCTTCACCAAGATGCTAATATTCAACCTCTGACTGACAGGACTTTTGTTCGGAAATCTGACAGCTTTTCTTCCTCCTCTTTTAACTCAGGCACATTTTAGTTAGAAGTAAATACAATCTGGAAAATTCCATGGATGGAGGAGCCTGGTGGGCTACAATCCATGAGGTCGCAAAGAGTCGGAGACGACTAAGCAACTTCACTTTCACTTTCAAATACAATCTATTCTTATGGTTCTTTGGTTTTTCATTCTGCAAAACATTTCACATGGACTATCTCTGAATAAGTACCATTGTAAATACCAAGTAGTAAGTACCATTACTTACCTCTGAATAAGTAAGTACCATTGCTACAAGTAAGGGAAGACGAGGAAAAGCAAATTGTCGAGGTTGTGGAGCAAATAAGTGCAGAGGTGGACCCCTCCCTGACTGTCAGGCCCCAGAGCCTGTGTTTTGCTGCCTAGACACACTATCTTCTCATGTCTTTGCATGTGGGGTGGTGTGGGGTGGTGCTGTGTGCTCTGATCACAGACTAGGCCGCTGTAAACCAGGCTATGAAATGGAAGCGGTTGCAGGCCTGGGGTGTTAGTGGTTGCACCACAAGCTGGGAAATGCTGTCTGATGAAGAGTGTACCCTCCCCCTGACTTAAGTCCCATTGGTCAGGGGCGTGGTCTAGGTGAGTCTCAATTGGATTTGTCACAGGAACTTCCTGGTCTTGA